TGGAACGGGTATGGAACAGGTGTGGAACGGGCATGGAACGGACACCCAGCGCAACTTCAATTTTGAGACATTGCGTTCGTTGGTCTGGAATGGAGGGCTCTGGAACGGATTTGTGGACTTGTTCCGGATCTCTAGATCGGGATGTGCGTTTCCCCTTGTTCCGGACCAATCTTATTGAGCGTCAGCCATATGGAAGGCTGGAATCTCAGCAGAAAAAGCGGCTACATAGCAGACGCACCGACTGTGCAGTAGTCTAATGTGGGCTCCTCCTGTTTTGGCGTCTGCTGGTTTTCATCATCGGAATCACTCAGCTGATGATCATACCCAGGATCTTGTAGTGTCTCTTCATCAACAAAACGACTATTGATGTTTTGAATACTCACTTCTGTCCGCGTGCCAGAAGATGCTGTGACTGCGTGTACCACGGCACAGCCGCAAGGTCAGTCTGTCTTGCAAGGACCCAGCCCGTGCACATTCAACTAGACAGGAAGCTAAAGGCATTCAAAACTGCCTCCACGAGAGAACTTTTACCAAAGGCAGCTGCTGCCTGGCGAACATCAGCTCGAGCATCCAGTAGAAGTCGAGCAACTTCCACCCTCTGCCCGTGGATGGCATGCATCAGCGCCTTTGGGAGGCCCAAGTTAAGCTGCACAGAAGAGCATGCTGGTGATTCACAGTGCAGAGGGTGCAGGGTTATCAGGCGAGAAGCCGTCCAGCCATTGGCATCTTTGGCATCTATTGCAGCCTTCCTGGGCTGGCGACAATGTGTCAATCGCGATGTTTTGCAAATACACTCAGCGCAAGCTTTCCTACGCATGCTTTCTTACTGTAGCTCAGCGTACTGTGCATGATGGACAGTTTGAGCAGTTGCTCTTGACGCTTTTAATATTGATGGCATTTGATGGCGCTGTCAGGGATCGAATGCTGTGTCTTCCCTTCGCTTGCATCCAAAGCAATTTTCCCGATTTGTGTTCGACTACGAATTAGCAGCCGCTCTTCGGCAGGGTGCCACACGAGTGATGGCTCCAGCTTGCTGCTTCTTACTCATATACAAGTGCAGTATGATTGAAGTTCTGAGCCAATCTCGTTCTTTCAATCTGAAAGTTGGACAGATTCCTTGAACTGACCTGAGCGGTTTTGTATTCTATTCAAATGTTGGGTCAAATTCTTATGACGAAAAAACCGTGCACGAAATCCTTCTGCGAACCATTCCGCATCCTTCCGCTGCCCGCCAAAACGTCAAGTCCCCAAGTGTTTAACGTCCTGTAACTTTTTGCATCCGCGAACCTTCCACAAAGCTTTTCGCTTCCGCAAAGTACCTTCACTCACGGAATACTTTCGCCGCACCTTCCGCGTCCTTCTGTGGCCACAGTCCAGCGCGCATGTGTGAAAATGATCTCAAGTCGTGTCGCCAACAAATTCATTGAATGGAAACAAAAGCTGCTCACTTGTCCACGTCTTGCATGGATCACCGGACTAAGCGAGGAACGCTTAACTGCGCCCAAAATACAGCTACACCTAGCCTTCTGGATCTTCTGGGTTTGTAGATTAGAGTTGCTCAAGAGCAGCAAACAGCAATGGCAGCCACAAGGGGAAAGGAGTGGTGGCGTTTTTTTTTGAACTGCAGTGGCGCTGGCTGTGGGGAGGGGACTGCCGAAGTGGCGCGGGTGCGGTGCTCCCGACAGCAGCAGCAGCAGAAGAATTGGCAAATTTCCTTCGACCAACTTTTTCGTTTGACGATTTGAACGGTTCAGTCCAAGCAAGTCTTCCGGCATCATGCCCATGTTTGTCCCTTTTGCCTCTTCCCCGAGGGTGAATCTGCAATACGTTGATGCTGCTTCATGCTGTAAAAACTGTAAAATGGCATCACTGTCACACCCAACAAGGCTATCACGCGCTCCGAGAATCCGTTCCAGCAAGCTGCGCACTGCATCCGCTCGACCCCGAGAGGCTGCTGCCACGAGGGCTGTTTGGTCGGCAAACCGTCCTCAAATGGCGCAAGCAAGCCTTGAAAGCCATACACGCAGTGCTGGATAGTGCTGGATTGCTTGCAAACCCTCAACTGCGCCTTCGTCAACACAGCCGTCCACGCGAACACCACTTCGACTGAAGAGCTGCTCAAGATCTCCCACTTCGCCAGCTCGAGCTGCCGCTACGAATCGTTCTTGATTTGCAGCCGCAGCTTGCACTGCCGCATCGGCATCCAGCCCCAGGAGCACTTCTTGATCCAAAGGCCCAGGCTTCCCGGTTGCTTCATCGGGTCGTAAACCGGGCCGAAAGGCATTATATCCCGATCTAGTTTTTTCAGAGCTGTTGCTCTCCGCCATCGCAGCGGATCGTCCAATGCCATTTGCGTGTCCGGTCCGTGGCGCAGACTCTTCGGTTTTCCGACCAGCTCCTCCTGCTTCCTCGCCAAAAGGCACTGGCATGCAAATGCTCACTGCCTCGGTGTCAAGGAGGCCACTGCCACCAACCACACCGAACCCCTGCAATAGCTGGTCATCTGGCTGTACAGCTGGCGGGCTTGTAGGCTCTTCGTTGTGCGTTCTGTCGCCCATGCCGGGAGCAGGCTCGGCATCAGGCTCTGGGACACGTACCGATGCAGGGCGCCTGGCAGTTGAACCGGCAGGCACTGCCGGTGGCCGCGGCAGCGGAGGCCTGGAGGACGGCTTGGGTGTCTCCAAGGGTGCGCAGCGCTGCGCACCTTGGACAAGCTTAGCGCGCTCCCTAGCCCTTAGAAAAGATCAACACAGGTTGGATACAGCATGGTACAATAAGATCTGGCACGCACAACGGGAACCATCTCGGGAGTCCATGATTCGTCGCCACCAGTTAGGCTCGAGCAGCTGCCATCCAAAAGTAAGATGGTCACTCCCAAGTCCGGTCGTGACAGTGACTGCAGCAACATCAGCCTCGAGCCATCTTCTCCTTGCTTCTGACGCAAGAACACGCGGAAGTTTGGTTGACTTAGGACCGTCAGAGATCGTCAGAGTACTCTTCAATCATGGTTGGAACGCCGCTGCAGCTACAATCCAGGACAGTATCACAGCGCAGCAGATCTTTGCGCTTGAAAGCAAGGCCCTGTCTTGGGCTTCTTCACTCCAGAAGAGGGCTACAAAAGCTAGAGAGGGGGTTTCTGGGCTAACAGCCGTCCAGAAGTCAAAGTTCCCTACAAGTCCCCACACCCCATAGCTCACGGCCTAATAGGCCTACAAACTACAAACCCATGTCAGCAGACTGTCCTGGCATCATGGCAGCAATAATGGTATAATGCTTGCAACTTGCAGGACGTGACGAAATTACAAAAGCGAATCTCATTCTGGGGTTGGTAGGGCCTAAGGAGGGAGAAGACCCAGGTCCCCTGCCAATCACATGGGGCCTTTCTTGGGGACAGGGCATCAATACTTCAGGGAAGGAGACACAAGGTGCCACGTGTGCCACCATACATCTTGATTTTGGAGCCGACACAGTCAGCTTCTGACCCGCAACCCTAAGCTCCAAAACAGCTAGCCTTCGCGACAGTTAAGGCAACAGCAAGCAGCCTCCCATGGTCAACACCATGCAATGGCCTTCAGATATCTAAAGAGCACATACTGACTGCGCGCCAGGCGTCGCACTGGATTCAACGAGACGACGACCTCCTCCGACTCCAGACCCAGGTCTGGGATGCAGCAAATTGCTGAGATGCAGAATATGTCCTGCGCCATGCTACGCTGGTCATTGAAGACACAGGCAAGATCAACAACTCCCTAAACAATTTCTACATCAACAGCTGTCTCTGCAATTTCACATCAGACTTGGACGAAGGCAGACGAAAACGTGGACAATGAAGCAGCGGTCAATACCGATCAGCAGAGGCTTCAATCAACACAGAGCAGGTCTGCGAATGTGGTTGGTGTGTGTGCGGTCTCCTTTTCTTTACATGTCCATCCAAGTTGTAGCCGCTGAGCTTTGACGGCTGCATGCAGTGGTGGCTTGCTTGGAGCGCCAGCAAACCTGAATCACCATCTTCAAGGTGCGTGCCCTTTGCACAAGGGATTACTGGGTTGCTGTTAAGGAACTTAAGTTAAGGTACTATATTGGGGAAACCCTATTCTTTGCTATATATAGCCATTATGGTAACTTAATTTAAGTTCCTTAACAGCAAGCCGGATTAAGGCTATGGCCGGTAAGACAGGCCGCACTTCCCCAGGCCAGGCGCCTGCAAGAACAGTCTGACTGTGTGTTTAGTCCAGGTCGTGCGCTTGAAGGCTTGAACCTCTGTTAACGCCATCTGCTGGAACCGAATAGGGTGAAGCGGTCCCAATTCATTTGCTTTTTGCCCTGTGTGGAATTGCCGTGCTACCCAATCATCTTTAACTGCGATTTCCAGCTCTGCTGGCTGGAAAGCAGCCCAAGCCTCCTTGACCGACTGCACCCAAAAGCTTTCATCTGGCTAAAGAACTAGAATTCGTCGGCATCTTCATATAGGGGTACACGGGGATTTCAGCAATATTTGGATTTTATGAGATTGTTTAGGGTTTAGGCTGCGCGACCCAGCCTGAAGATGGCCCTCGAACACGGCACCTGCAAGCTGCTCCATCTGTGTACCAGGAGCCTGGATCTGTACAAGTTGAGCCACAGCTGAAATCAGTTGTTGGGCAACAATTGCAAGGCAGTTGTCCCAAATCTTGCTGAGCAAGCATAGTAGGAGACTGGGTGGATCGCTCCTGTCAACACATTTCAGACATCCCCAGCAATATCTATGGCATGACTGCAGCTCCTATACAGCTGTACAAACTTCAACACGGCACAGATTTGTCCACAAGTATGGCTGATTACGAGCTGAGCCTAGCTCATGGTGAGCTAAGCTGGAAATGAGCGCACCCTTCAAGCGCCGAAAATGGTGGAAGACCGTGCTTTCCGTAGGATGGCAGACTTCAAAACATCCTACGAGAAAGCAAACTTTGATTATCATGATTTTTGAGCCGGTATGTACATGTGACTGGAGGTCTGTTGCCCTCTGGGCATTTCCCCTGAGCTTGCAGTCTGTGTGTTGCTGTCTTCTTAGATGTTGTCATCTACGCCGCAACCGCCTTCTGCATGAGCAACGGCGATGCCTGGCCACGCAAGTATAGAAATGAAGATCATGGAAGTAAATGACACTCAGCCAAAAAAAACGATAAACAACAAGAGACAGTCCATCCTGAGCAGGGGCTAAATCCATCTTGGGATTCTTGGGCAGCCATTTGCTCTGGCCCACTCACACCTACTACTGCAAGATTGGAAGCAGAAGCTGAGCATAGGCATAGGCTTACTGATCCCGAAGGCATCAGCTTTCCCTGAAGGGCACCTGGCCTCCTGTGTCTCGGGGGCGATGAGTGGTGGAGGATTTTCAGGGTCCACCTTGGCCCAGGGGATATGGGATGATTGTTGTTTCAGTGCCGGGCTGTCTGGGGCTGAAGCCGGTGGGTTGCTTGTGGCTTCAAGCTCCCATGGCTTCATGTCTGCGCGGGCAATGGCCGCAGCAATGGCCTGCTAAAGCTCAGTCAGTGTAGTCAACGTATTCAGTTCGGGCTAAGCGTCCACCTCGGCATGCTCTGAGCCAGGCATCTCACCCTCCGGAGTCAGCACTAAGCCTGGAAAATTGTCCAGGAAAGTATGCAACAACACGTCAGGGCAGCCGCAGGCAGATCTCTGACTTGTATTGACTCAATCTGAGAGGCGCGCATCCGCGGTAGGAGAGGCCTGCCCGCCGCGCAACACCAACCTTGTTTGGACAAACCTACATGATCGCAGTCTTCTCCAACTACACATAACTGTGGAATTGAGATCACAGCATAAAACAGCACAATCCACTGCAAGTCATCGTCCGCTCCGAGCAAGTGCCACTTCTCCTGGTATTTGGGCTGACTGCGGGCGCTATAATCCCACAGATCTGATAGAACCTTGTGCACAAAGACATGTTTGCTTTTAATGCATAGCGCGCAAGTCAAATGCCGAAGTGGCAGCATGACCGCAGTTTCAGAATCAGTGACGCGGAAGCAAAGCCGTCCTCTGAAATTATTCCATTGTCCACCACGGAAAAATCCCACAGTCCAGGCCTCAGGACATAGCTCAAGGCAATGATCCTTTTGTGGGGCATGCGTGGACTGCTTGCTGCTGGTGCTGACCAAACTTGGGTGCAAAGGAACTTTGGCTTGCGCTCTTTCCGGGCAACTTGAGCGCGAAAGCTCGTCTGCACTAGCAAGCGGTCAGGTATGCTGAGAGAATGTATGTTTCGCAGACTTGCATCTGAGAGGTTCGTCAGTGCTACGATGGTGGTCTGCTCCACTGGCCAGCTTTCTGTTTTGGGAGGCATAACAGCAGATGCAGAGCTTTGCCCCCAACGTCTCTCTCCTTCGCACTCGGTAGTCGCGCGTTCGCCAAATCTTGGCTCCGTCTAAGGCCTGCAGCATCAGGATGCACAGCTTGAGATGGGTCAGGCAAAGCAGCTGAGTCATGGAATGCTTTAGAAGTATCTTCTCCACGCAGCAGCACTTATCTTCCAGTGCAATGCTGGGAGGCCTCGACCAGAAACGTTGGGTGATACCTGACGGATGCAGGCTCAACCTGAATTCAACATCATGTCACATGCTTCGTCTCTGGGCCCACAGCCAAAACGTGTTTCGTCCAGATCCCTTGTACCACAGCTGGTACCTGCTGCACATGAAGCAGAAGGCGGTCTGCACAATTGTTGCAGAAAGCAAGATTGTTGCCGGACACGCCAAAAGCGTCGGGTCACTGCAAGGCGAACTGCTCGTATGCCGGGTTAGAGCCAGCTGCGACTAACCAACTATGTCGATGATTCTCGGGATTGAAATGACCCACAAGGATGCTCTCCGCAATCTCATGAGTCAGTGGCCTGCCTGCAGGACAGTTGGCTTGTTGAGAAGTGCTCCGGCCATATGTCTGAGCTGTTGCTCGAGATGGCATGTAGTTAGCATTGCGCGAGAACATGGAAACCGGAAAGGGGAGGCTTCTGGCCTCTGAAGCTGTCCAGTGGCTTTGCCTGGGGCGTGGGGGGGCGCTCGATCTGCGAGTTCAGCATGTTCTGCTTTTGTAGCGCGCACCTTGGATCCAGCATAGTACCGTGAGCAAACACCGAGGTTCAAGATGAGCTTTGAGACTGCGAGACTATGCAGCCAAGCATCAAGCTGAAGTCCGTGAATGCTTGGCTCTGATAAGACACGATGCAGCGATAGGAACATGACTGATCTGCCAGGCCGCACCTCAGCGGAAGTCAAACGATGCCTGGCATGGTTACAACTTGACTTGATCCAAATCCAAGCCGCTGCGAAAGGCAAGCCAAGCTTTGCAGACAGCGCGGTTGCGTGAAGCAGTTGCGGAACTGCTCCTGGCATCGATCCTCGGTGCGATCACATCTCCACATAACACACATGATATCAAATATTTGAGCAGCAAACTCATATTCGCACATCATGCATTTGGGTGAAAGCATGTCTACAAATGCAAATTATTCGGGGATATCATGAGTACATAATTTGCTGCTGCAGCAAGTGTTGCCTGAAAGCTGATTTGTGAAAGGCTGAGCTGACGCTTTGAAATGAGCGGCCACCGCGCGGAAAACCGTATCTGCTGTTGGAACCGGTCGCTGGGCCGCTAAGGCAGGCAGAGGCGTCACCTCATCTGCGAAACGATCATGTGACCCAAGACTTGGCAGCCGAGCAAATGTTCGCGCTTGAGGGCACAATTGCAGCGAAGCCACGGCTTTGTCAATCAGCACCAGGATAGCATAAACAGCTTCTTCTGCTGTTCTCCGATGCCAGAGGTCTGTCACATCATCACGCAGCTTCAGAGCCTTGCCACATGAAGAAAACGAGGCAGGTGTCTAATCATAGCAAGAAACAGCAGGCGAGAATCTCAGGAAAACTCTGGAACCACAACAAGCAAACCCTGATACGCACATCACCTGGGACCTAGGGGAGAGCCTTGGGGTGCGGAGTTCCATGGCTTGGAAAGTCTCCCTTGCAGGCCAGGTGTGCGTAGAGGACCTTCTGGGGATTCCCACTTTCTAGCTTTTGAATTCAAGCCAAGAGGTGCAAAGCAGCAGCAACATGACGCTGCAACAATGGAGTGTACCGCTTCATAAACGCCTCAATGACCTCAGGTACTATAATATGTCGTAGCAATAGGTTCGGCATTTATCCCTGTTTCTGGATCCTCAGTACTCTTCCAAGAATGTGTGTTAAACAAGGACGCACCCATAGAGAAGGCTGCTTGTGCAGGCATCTTTGAGGCAGCGGGGCAGGCAGTGGGGCAGCCGCGGACATGCTAATTCTCTGCCCTGATCGTATTATTGCCTCGCTGTATCCTCCGATGGCTGCAGAGAGCCCCAGAAAGCCAGCATCGGACAGCTGCGCTTCCCCAGCGCCTTCAACAGCAGGTGAAGCACATTCAGCATCAAATGACTTGTGGATGTCGGCCTTCAAGATATGTCTTGGCAGTCCAGAAAGAGCTCGTGTTTCGTGATTTGGAGCCTTGGTGGCATCCATCCAGAACCCAAAGTCATGAAAGCAGGACCGCGAGTCTACAATGAGAGTCTACAGAGTCTACAGAGCATCTCCAATCGGCCATGCAGAAATCCCTTACTTGTTGGGCCTAGCTTGCGGGATCTCAACTCCACCGGACCTTTGCGGACCTCAGACTTCCCTGGCGGAGGAAGTGTGAAACGAGTAATAATACTAGTGAAATGGCTTCCGGGTGCCCAGAACTTCCTTGACACGCTGATTTGCCATTCCTGACCTGTCAACGAGGAATCCTGCGCTTTGGCTGGCTTTCTGTGCAAGAAAAAGTTACTGGCGCTGCGACATGGTGAAACATGCGGGCTTGGTGATGCACGTGGGTTCAGCCAGGCAGCTCGTAATGAATAGCCTGGAGCCAGCCCTGCCCAGAATGTCGCCAAGTATCCCCTGGCACTCCTGACGATGCACAAGCATCTACGAAACAGCATGAATTTGTCACATGCACTCTGGGCCCCTCCAGGTTGCAGCTATCTTTGCTTGCCTTATGGCACCGCCTCCTTGCTAGTTTGGGATTTTTACCACCTGGAAGGATGCCACAGTGAAAAGCTGCTTTTTCTGCGACAGTTGGTTCTGCAGGATTAGTGTCGGCCATTTGGGGTCATTGTCGTGTCATCGCGCAGAAAGTGGTCACATGGTACGGCGTCCGTCTCCATTCACATCACAAACATGGGGAGAGCACATGGGCCGAGACTCATGGTCTTGCTGAGAGTTGGTACCCCTCTTATCGTCTTATTCGTAAACACGCTCCTTCTAGCCGCCTGATGTACCTGTCAGACCTCCTGCACAGACTGGCGGGCAGCTCCTGAGGCGGCTGTGCTAAATCCACACCGAAGACAAAGTCGGCCCGAAATTTGGCATCTTCCTTCAACATGGCGAAAGCGTCACTATCAGTCACCCTCGTTGTCAGTTCATAACAGCAACAACACACCCAGCGATCACGCCTGGCACAGCTCCGACAGGGCCATGGCTCCTGAGCCAGTAGAAGGTGTTGACAAAGGTTGCTTGATCATCGTTCAGTAGGTTTTCGTCCATGACAATCACTGCGAAAAATTGGCTTCCTTGAAGACAGAGTGGTCTTTGCTCTTGCGTCCCTTCTCCGTGCCGCTTAAAAACAGTGAAATGAAAAGCTTGCTTCAGCAAAAAGAGACCTTTACCCATGAATATGCTGCATCAGAAGTAATACAGAATACACAATGGCAGCATTGCATATCAGGGAATACTATATACAAAGTGAAGGAGGTGTTCGTTCGAAGAAAATGTAAACTCCGCCCATGACTTGATATGATTTAGTCCTGTCATCCCGCACGTAACACGACTAGGCCAAAATCATTTCCTAGCGATCACAAATAATGCATACCTCATCGGAGCCTAGAATTCTTCGCATACCTCACGCATAGCCTCATTACCTTCTTATGTTGGAAGGCCTTGCTTCCCAGGTCCACTGCTCTGGCCTCTGAAAGGTTCCTTCGAGAGCGTAAGTGTTGGTTTGCCGCCTCACTGAGTCCCACCTTGCTACGCAAAGATTGAAAAGCGATGCTTCCGAGACGATGCTCACAGTCCCGGTGCCTGTAAAGGGTCAGAAGAACAATGTGATTTCTGAGGTCGCGAATTTAATGATGGCAAAAGTTATTCTTGAAGACTGCAAAGCTGCTAGTTGCTGTACTTGTAGGCTTTGTTGTGCCAAGTACTGACAATTAGCGGGCGAATATCTTCAAGAGCTTCTCAACTCATGCGCTGGCCTTGGGAGTCTGTCAGATTTCGAATCCAAGGCTCGGAACTCGACTGGCTCTGCGCCCAAGTCCCAGTTGACTCGAAGCACCAACTGTTTGGCGGCTTCTGCCCAGCTGGGACTTCTGCCTGTAAGGGCCGTGCCCATGTGAGGCACCTCTGCAAAGCCTCCGCAGTGACAAAGCAACTGCATGCAACTGCCAATCTCCAATATCCGTCTACGCACAATGCTGGGCAGCCTGGTGAACCTGAATCTGGGTACAGCAGTAGCACCTCACAGCTCGGTGCTTTCAGTGCATTCAGGGGTCCATCCACGGCACCATGTATTGGTTCTGCGTGTTTGAAGTAGCAGCCCGATACCATTGCAAGGTGTCTCCTATTGTCTCCTATCTCATGCGAACCTACTATGAACCTGTTGGCAGCCAAGGCACGAGTGCCTTGTCGCCCGGCTGGGTTGCAACTTTTTGGCTGGCAAGAACGTCCTGCTTCTGCAGGCGTTGAAACAGAATGCTCAGCACCAAGCAGTGGTGAACAATCCGGGCAGAAACGAATGTGCCTGCTCTGCTGCGGTTGCCGCAAGGCTGCTGCTGCCTTGCCTGCGCAGACACGATTACAGTTGGGCGATTCACGACTCATCACGACTCCATGCCCATGGCCTGGTCTGCACGGAATTGCCATATTGTTGGTGTGTCTGCGAAGTGGATAGCTGCACTTGCTGCAGTTGCACCCTCCGGCTGAGTCCGCAGAAGCCGACGGATGAGGCCGTCAACCAAGCCTAAGGCATTGGCATACATTAGTAGTTAGTAGCAGAGCTAAGCTCAAAGGCAAGAAGCTGGTCGACGCCGACCTGTTGGACAAAACTTAGGCTTGGACAGCTGCTAGGCCGCACATCAGTGAAGTGAGGCCCGGTCTCCTTCCTCCGCGACTTCTGGCCTTTCTCAGGAGCAAACTGCCAAACTTTGACAACTAGGACTGCAAAACTTGCTCGCTCGCATGGTGCAGCACGAAAATGTGTTAATTGCGCTTGTGCTTTCCCGAACAGATCTTGAATTGGCAGCGGCGCAACAAGAATCCAAGTGAACGGTCTGCTGCTGCTCCAGCCACCAAAGCTAATTTCCAAGAAGATAAACAAAATTTATACAACCCCCTGCTTGTAGTCCTGCTACTGGCTGGTGCTGCTTCTGTTGCTGCTGTTACTGCTGCTAGCAGTTTGAATATGACTTCAACCACCGCCAACTGCCACCAACAGCCCTGATGCTGGTGCTGCTTCTGCTCCTCCTCCTCCTCCTGCTAGTCAACACCAGCACTGTCAGCAGCGTATCTTAAACAATGCTATGGGGCTGTTGGTTAGGCTGGGGCTTACTAAACAGAATGCTATACATAGCTGATTAATCTTGGGCTGGTGCATGCTGCCCAGGTCCCACATTCCGCCGAGCAAAATCCATGATGAATCACTGTCAGAGCCACTTGCTTTCTCTAGCATAGCCTCTTGCAGATCTGTTCTGAAGGATGGTTTTGTGGACATGCCGCTCTGCTTGCCAAGCTCATGCATTAGTGGCGTTATCTCCGGCCTGCTGAACCAACTTGAGCCATAATGTGCACGTGAGGTCTGTCATGGCCCTTGCAACTCTGTCGTCCAAAATCTTGCTGTGTCCTGAGGAAAGATACAGTGAGGCTCAGTAAGCTGACCCTTCTTTTGCTCAGCACCTGTGCACTAGGCCCTGTTGCCAGACTTCCTCCATACAAGTGTTGGGTGCTTTGATGGCCAGCGCCGCATCTATCCAAAGGGTCTAATTATTCCGCTGCCCGCTGATGGTTGAACCCTGGTTACGGTGCACTTGCAAACGTTTTGTTGGTATCGGTCGATGTTGCCTGAAAACCGAAACACCGAAGATGTCTGCTAGAAGCCGAGCAAACAATCTCTGAAGCACCTTTTCTGGAGTGCACATGCATAACCGAGTGGTGGCTGGATGCTGGGCTCCGCAATTCGGTGCCGACTCATCCGTCACCAGACACTGTAGAGCAGTGTCACGCGTCTTCTCATGCACGTAGCAGGGTATCTCGGCGCCGACCTTGCAGGGCGTGCGACAGAGCGTCGAACCAGGCTGCCGTGCATCTCTGGATTCGCGCCTGATGACCGCAGCCGTTCTCGCAGGTAAAATGTTTCTTCAAGGCTTTGCAGTTGTTGGCGTACTCCAGTTGCTTGTTGTCACAGCGCAGGTTGGCCTTACAGGATTTGGGTTCAGGGCACTGGCAAAGAACATGAAAGAAGCATCAATACGCAAAGCGACTTGCCATTGCTTGTGCGGCTGCCGCTAATGAGTTTTGCCGCTTGTCTACTCCAGGCCGATTGCCCTGTTGCGTGGCAGTTAAGATGTGTGCAGTTGGTAGTGACTGTGGCCTCTATTCATTGAGCCCTCATGTCTAAACAACACAAGGGGTCAAGCAATGGTTTGGAACAAGTGCTTTGATCAGCATCAACATCGCAGGTGTACCCTAACATGGTTTCGATTCCGAAGCCTAATGTAGCTCTTCCAACTCCGAACTGACATGATGCGGTCCGAACCTGGCTGCATGTGATGTCGCAGGACTTGCCCGGCTTGGCCTTCCTTAGGCGCTCAACTTGAGCAAGCTTGTTTGGGGTCTTGACCTGGGGCTATCAAGCTCCACTGCAGCCAGGTTTCAGCATTACATTGCCGGGATGTGCACGCCACAGCTCAGAGTCTGGAAGAATTCCCTCGCCCTCCGAAAACAGCAGCAGCGGACTAGCTAAATCGGCTCATCCAACAAATCTCTTCTTGCCGGCCTGGCGCCGATCGACCAAGGCCAGCGGCACGTGCGACTGCGGATGTCGGGTGAGGATTATGCCTCACAGGCTTCACTACTTGCTGCAGGGCTGCTGATGCATGCAGCACAGCACAGGTCGACAAAGTCGCCTAAGCCGCCTGGCTTAGGCGGCTTGTGCTGCAAAGGTGGGGAGTATAGTGATGCTTTGCGTTCTAGTGACAGAGGCATGCATGTTCATGTCTTGGCAGCTTCTGCTTTCGCTCCCACTACTCGAGAACTTGGCACCAGCATTTAACTACGTCCGTAAGGGCAACAGGACTCCTGCTATACCCGCTACGTTTGTCTCTCAGATTTTGTTACCAATCCGCCGGTGCACAGGCTCTCTCCCACAAGGAACCTACAACCTGAATTTCGCTTTGCGGTGCCTCGCCAGCTACCTCTCGGCTGCCCAGGGTAGAGCTGCAGCTTCTTTGCGAGAGCCGGAAAGTCCTTCCAGTGTATCTTCATTCCATTTCAACTGTTGCGCTGCAAGTATGTATGTGACTCCAGGCGCCCAAGTATGTCCAAGGAGAATAGGAAAACAGTGGCCAGCCAACCTTTACAAAGGTAGCTATCTTTTGTCTGTTTCGAACATGCTTGTTTTGCAGTATGCTTCAGGGTCCAGAATTCATTTGCCGCATGTATGTGTGAAATCTACAATCCAAAAAAGTCTACACTACACTAAGCTAGCGTCCAGTGGCACCTGGGAACTGCGGCTACGCTCTTCCAGGGAGGGACTTAGGAACCTTCCAGCGTCTCCCTTCCTTGGAACTGCACGCTACTCAGACTGCGTTCATGGCCGCATAGCGCAAAATCTGTGTGGCACCAGGTTTGGGGCTGAACTGGGAAGTTGCAGGCTTGGGGATTGTCGTTAAAAGTCCAGGTCTTGTCTTTGCTTGATTTGTCGTCCTTTGGGCTTATGTCTTGTGGTGTTGTATTCGGCCTTCACTTTTAAAAGATTGCATCGCGTGACGTGACCAACAAGTAGCGTTGTAAGGCTGACACGTATGAAGTCAGGAGCCTCATGGAATCTCATGCAGTCAACAAAGAAATCCCCAAACATGCTATGGCGGTGAGGATTACCTTGCCGAGCTGCAGAACTCTATTAAAGAACAACGTTCGTGCGTCGAGGAGTTGGACATAGGTGATATAGTAGTGTCCATTTTCTGTTCAATTATCCCGATATAGCCTACACATATATATACATTTATACACACCAGTATGGGCTATAGTTGATAGGTGGACACAGCAGAGCGGTCCTCTCGCGCATATGGAATGAGTTGGTATTGCGAACTGGATCCCTCGAGCGGTCGGGAAACCACGTTGTCGATGGACTGCACCAGCTTTCCCTTCTGCAAAGTTGTTCTGATGCTGGCCTCGTACTGATCCCTGGCAAGACAGGCGGCAATCATACAAAGGCAACTTACACTAGCAAAGCTGCTGCGCATCTTGTCCCACAGCAGCTAGAACAATTCTGCAGCGCCTTAGCAAGTAGGTCACGTTCTGAAGCTCACCATGAGGAAGCTGGCTTGTTGCCATCTTCTCAAGCAGCTTCAGAATGGGAGTCCCTGCCTGGCAATCCCACTTAAAAGACCAGCAAGTTCGATCAAAGGTGCAAGGTGTGATGATAGAGTCAGTCCGCCAATTGTCATGTGGTTATTTGATGCGGTCTCAATGTTAGATGCGACGGGCCGGTTTTCATGGAAAGACCGTCCACTCTGAACCCTCAACAACGTCGTGCACCACTGACCACCTTCAGAGCACAAGGCTAGAAATCTTGCCCATATCCCTGGCTGTGCTTTCGCTGGGTCTGTGTCTGTGTTGCTTGCTATCTTCTGTAAAGGCATTGCTGTGTCAGGATTCCAAGTGGAGCGCGGATCAAAACGAAGTCATACCACAGACGCGCCAACAGACCAGAAAATCTCAAGAGGAAGAAAATGGGCTGCTTCCGAAATGCGTGTTCTGGGAACGGTCGGACATGCAGTTTCTTGTGTGTGCCGCCTCATGTTGGAAGCTTCAAATCAGCCTACCGCAATGAAGCATGTTCTTCTTGGAATTGTTTGATTTGCAGAAGGCTTCTACCGCGGAGCCTCCATTCTACTCATAGATGCCAGTATAACAATTCCTCAAACTCATCCCTCCCTTCAAGATGTGATCCATCGAGATGCTCCAAAAGCCAGAAAATCTCTTAAAACGCGGACAATCATGTGATATTAATGTGATGTTAAGCATTCTCTATAACCTACAGAGGTGAACTGGGGCTGCTTGCCAGCGAAATTTATGGGCTGAGGTTGTGTAAATCCATGATTGCTGCTTCATTGAAGATGTGCCAGCCAGGGATCGCACCGGTCATCCGCATGATTATCATTGCTGTCGTCCAATCACTGTTGTTCTTCGCCGATAGTTTGTCCCCTTGTTGATGTTTGCTGACGCTGTAACATAGTTGCTATGATCATCCGTGTCATCATCATGACCGTCATCATCTTCATCCGCCAGACTTCAGCGGCAGCGAAACATGATGACAACACATGCAAGCATAAAACATGCAAACAAGGTTGGAGACTGAAATGAACCCATTTAATTGCCGGGACCGCTGCAGCCACACAACTGCCCCACTGCACCGCTGCAGAGTTGGCACTGGTTGATCCCTGGTCTTGCAGACTTTGGATTTCGTCAACCGAAGGCGATCCACACTTCAGAAGAGATCCATGTTCCTTGATAGTGCATGCCTGTAGTGCCATTGACTGCACCGAATGACTGTCACTGCAAGCTTAGCACCTATTCGCATGACGTCAACCTTCCACATGCTCAGTTTGGGCCGAACATGGGGGTGTCTGAGGTTCAGATGAAGGACCTTGGCAAGAAAAGTCCCCCTTCCTCAATATCAATGTGTCTTAGCTGACTGGACATCTGCCCATCTGCTGAGGAGACAGCTACTTTGTAGCGAGAGCTTGCTTTCATGCTGCTTTCTTGATATGCTGTGGCGGATGGTGCTCATAATCGAAAACATCTTCAGTTCTCAAGACCTGCCACGGGCTTGTGGATTGGGTGCCCCCAGAATTGCTGTCGTGCAGCGCGCGGAACTTAGACGATGGAGGACAAAGGTGATGTAACGACAGCTTGCACGCTTCATGATGACTTGCAAATGCAGCACAGTGCGGCAGCAGCACGTCTAGTGGCAAAGCATGCATGCTTCAGAACCCCGAAAAGCCTTGACATTTGTGCCCTTGCTGTCCACATGCCGTGTGCGCGGCGCTTCGGGCGCAATGCAGTCGCGAGGCTTTAATCCAGAGCCATGCCGTATCCAGTGGTCCCAGCCGGTGCTGGGAAACTTTGGCCAAGCGTCACGCAAGAAGAACCACGTGCTGTTGTCTTAGCTGTCATTGTTCCAGATTGTTCCAACAGGTCTAGCGAAGATCACCTGAACCGCTATCCATGCCAAGTCTCGAGTCATCCAGCCCAGGCCTGGAAAGTAATCTGTCCGAAAGAGGCGCCGCTCGTCAGGCTGAAGCTCCCGGAAGCCATTGTCGTTCCATGCAGACACGCACCACAAAGACGGGTCGCGTTCAAGAAGCGGCGCGGTCAGACGGAAGTACCAAAGAAAGTCTGGTGCCAACGTCAAATCGTTCTCTATGTAAATTGCAAACTCAAAGCCTGCCACCTCGAAACCTGAGCGACAGGCAATCTGATTGCCATGCGAGCCCATGATTGCATGCTCCCGGCCTACTACTAAAAGGCTCAAGCGAACAAAAGCAAAATGCAACGAAGGATCTTTGCGAAAGGGCAAACTTGAAATGTGCAGCGATCTTTGCTACTGCAACCTCGAAGTCGAATGTGTGATTTGTGAGTATCTTCTGGACTGCACTATCTACAAGAACATGAAACATGGCTAGCAACTGCATGTGTAATTACAGAGCTCCGGACCTTCAGACTTGGATCGTCTGGCTTGCGCCAAACATCAATCTTGAATTTCGTGGAGTACTTGTCAACGACAGCCTGCTTTTCTCTGGCTACCCTACTCTAGATGATGCATGGACCGTGCGTTAACTTGCAAGCAACGCACGCATCTGCAGCGCAGAGCGCGCTGAGCAATGGAGTCGCTATACGGTGCCTCCATCTTCTGGAATGACTGCGGATGATCCAAGGATACCACTGCTTTCACCAGACTGAGATCGGGCTGCTGGGCCAAGGACTCCAAGCACCTGATTGGGGGAAGCATGTGAAGCTTACTCACGGCTTGGCTGGACTTCCACCCCGCAACTCTTTGATCAACCGGTGGCCATCTAGCGTGTGAAGGCATGCTTGTATTTGCACGTACGACCTGTCTGAGGACTCTCAGTCTTAGTCTTCAGATCATCTTCCTCGTACACTGCCTGGCCTTCTCATATCCACTTTCACTTGCCGGTCTACGTTGCAACGCAGTACACCCGACCGTCATTCAATGGCAACTTGCAAAACCAGGCGCCGTGCAAGACAGTCTGGGCGATCGTGGCCCAAAATGACCACGCCGGCCCGTCCACCACCCAGCGGCAGCCACATTTCAGGCGCCGGCTGTGTTGGACTGGGAGAGGCTGTAGAGGATTCTGATGTGTTCATTGACCTCTTCCACATCAGGAACAGAGGCGTTCACCCCAAAGATCCCCGAAGAATATTCTACAAAGTCAAACCATCCATCTTACCTGCTTTGTCTTTTTACCGCAGCAAGACTAGGAGCACATTCTTCCCAGCTCGCAAGAGTCGACACGTTAGCTGTTTTGGTTGAGCTGCCTGGGCAAGGCCAGCGCCGGATGAGGCAGAGCCGCCTCCGAAATCCTTCCGATCAAGCTTTGGAGGAATAAGCGCATTCATCAAAATCGCATGCGCGGCAAGGCTTGCAAAATGAAGACAGAGCCAGTGGCACCTGCTAGCGCGTTCCATGGCGCGGAGCGCGGAATGCACTCGCCGCAGTCCACGGAAGTGAGAAAAGCTCGGCAGTTGCTCGAACTCGCCGTCGAGATCTCGGCCTTTGTTCGGTGCTATAGCATGGCAGAGCAAGAAAACAGGCGACGCCCTACTCCAATGAAGTCACTACTAATCCATGTGGACGCTTCAAACTTACATAACTGCCACTGGCAGTGCTAGGCCGTGACCATGACCATTTAACCTGAATTTGGCGGAGTTCAGTGGCTTCGTTTGGGTCTTCGCAAGGAACCTGTCAGCGTTTTCCAGGTTGGCATGTCGCGCCCGGCGCCCGAGTGAGCGGCTCTGCACTCGAAAGCCACCACAGTCTGGAGGGAAGGAACACGGGTAGGGAATCCCAAAACTGTCAGCCCTGAACCTGTCGCGAGTTTTGTGGACATCGTGTGAAAAGCACCATTTCTCCGTAAGATCGCCAAAGCTATTCTCCTCTGCTGCGGTTGCAAAATCCCTTCCCTGCACTTCTTCATGCAAGGTGGGCATCTGGAGCCCCTCGTCCAGGCTTCCAGCCAAGTGAGATGAAGCTGTTTTGTAAATCAACTAAAGAAGGCAACAAACCTACGGAGCGCTCCATGTTGCGCCCAACAAAAGCAATGCATTTGCAGCTTTTGTAGCTTTTGGCAGGACCATCCATCCACGTGACACATGCCACCACGAACTGAATCACAGACTTCTTTAATTACTATCCGAGAGCAAGCCATGCAACACGTTACCAATGGGCCTGGGTGCCAGGCCGAGTGATGTGTACAGAACCACGAGAGCAGTCACAAATGTAATGACCGCCTTCACATCACAGCCAGTGGAGCGAGCAAGAGTAAGAGGCAAAAGCATAGTATTTTGAGGACCCCGCCGTGCCCAGCAAGAGCAGAAGGGTCTGCCGAAACGAACCTGCACTGCAGCTGCATCATAAGCATGCCCTCCTAGTCTCACGTTAGCAATGGGTATTGTGTGGCCAAGCAGAGATCGCAGACCTGCGCAAATGCCTGAACGTCTGGTAGACTTGCGTGCCATTGCTTTGCAGCCACAGCATGCCACACGATGCTACTGAAGAAAGCAAGCTCCACTAGCCAGCAGCTAGCCGGCTAGCGCTGACAAGGCGATTCTCCGACCATTTGCTGCCTAGCCTAGTTCATGGGCGAGTCTCTTTTGGGGTGACGAAGCCGTTGAACTTCTGGACTTGCAAGACGGTGTGAAGCAGTGCAGCACTCACCAGCTACCGATAATGACTCTTTGCAACTGACGGATGACGGCTGCAGCCATGGTGGATGAACAGATTGTACTTGCCAAGCACGCCTGAAATCGGCTAATCTCAGAGATGGAGCATCAGTGCAGCTCACACTGTTTTGATGAATGCTTATGAGATGTTGCTCCGCCCCGGAGCAGGAAAGCCCCAGCTTGTCAGAACGACATGAAGACCGTTCTCTCAGCGGCAAGTCCAGTCAAGCCAACAACACCTCCAAAGTTGAAGACTTTCTAGTTTGTTTCACGTTTGCCGCCAGGTTAATAGAAACTGCTGGTGGGACACCAGCACAAGTACCAGCCTGCGGCCACTCAACTTAGAGTTAGCTTGTGAAACAGTCCCTGCATCAGGGCAGACCCCAGTCAAAGAAATCAAAGCTCAAAGACTTGCTGACATGTGCACTTATGCAACCCTTACACTATTGAATCACACAGCGAGATCCCTTGGCACTGCTCACTGCATGTGCCTACGTTCACCAAAGATCTGCCTATGGCTCAGCGCCCAAACAAGTCAAGGCTTGCTACAGCCTCATGCGCAAGATCTTAGCAGACCTTAGCAACAGATGGGGGCAAATGCAGCCTTACACGGAAGGAACTCGAGGCCGCAGCAGCCTTGGCAAGCATCTCGTCAATTTCTTTCAGCCTTCTGACAGCCAGAAACACTTGAACCTTGCACATGGACATGTGAATTCTTGGAGAACGGCATGAACCGACCATGCTCTCGTGGATTGACTGGCTGCGCTGCTGTGCATGACACATTCGTCCGCAGCCTGGCATGTGCATGCTTCACAGCGGCCAACGAACTTAATGGGCTAGGTGCTTATACAGCCACAGCACATTTGCGGGCAAGGTGCTCGCCATTGTAATTGTCTGGCTTAGCACGCAGCTGCACCTTGCAGGCTTTCAGGCTAGTCGCTCTCACACACATTTCTATCAAGTTAGACGGACAAGCGTGCACAGGTGCAGGCCCGTTATTGGATTTCTACTTCCAGACGCAACATATCCATGCTGCGCATGATTATGTCTCGTACGGTTTCGTTTGGAGGAAACAAGCGCGACCTGGCGTGTTCTCCATCGCTCAACCCTCATTGGCCAACTACATTCAATGCGTCGCGATTCAGCATGTTATGTACGATCATTGATTTGTCCAGGCAAATGGTCGTTGGATATTGGTGACGCGCTTGGTGAGCAATTGCAATGAAATATGAACTCAGAAGCACATGCGTGGAGGGTCAGAAGGTGAAAGGGCACCACCGGAGCCATGACGCCCGAGACGCCCGAGACGCTCGACTCAAGCCCTCCGACCACCAAGTCTCATGGATAAGAAAGGAGGCCACAGCCACATTGACATCCACGCCATTAGTTTGACATTTCTGAAGGCTTGAAGGTGTTGTATGCCCACGAAGTTCAATGCATGGCAAGCAGGCACGGTCTAGCGCCTTAAAATTCTGCGTGCAACAGTGCCTGCATGATCTGGCCATAGTAGCAGCTCTTCAACTTGGCCTCAACAGCCTCGTACCACATCACATGCTAGAGGAAAGTACTCTCAAAAATATCGTCACGGGCGGGCCTCGCGCCCTTGATCCTTCTCAATATCAGCCACCTGGAGAAAGCCCGACAAAAAGAACCACCACTGCTAGCAGCCCACTCTAGCTTGATATCGCACCTCCTGTGCTGTCATTCCGAGAACTTTCTCTGCTGCCTGCAATGTCAGTGGTGGTTTCAGCGCAGTGGACCACTTGAACAGTAGCAGTTCTGCTTTGGTGGTCGAGCCAGGCAAGATAATGAAATTCTCATTTCATAATTTTCTACGGGAATATAGGCACTCCGCGTATAATACACCTAAAATACAATCATATATACTCATATTCTTTATTGTGGGCTGCCGTATCTCGAAATGAAATACTACTCATGTCTGAACTGGCACACCTGGTGGAAGGTGGTGACCCAGAAGTTGCCAGTCGCCTAAGCTTCCAGACCAACAAACACACCACATCACATAACTAGCAATCAGCTCATGCGGAGACAGGCAAATCTTCAGAACTGGCTCCGGGTCTGGAGCAGCACTTCGGTTGCAGGATGACTTGCAGTATCCAGCAATAAAATGGCATCCTCATAGGCCGTAGCCCAGCGATTAAAGGCTGTTCCGTTGCCCTGGTACTGTGCTAGGAGTAGGTGATCTATGCGGATCTTCTGAAAGATGCGAATAGCGAAGCGGCTTAAGTAAATGGGCCTGGACTCGAGCAGCGAAGTGACCAAGATTCCAGGTGACCCAAAGAAAATGAATTGAGGTGAAAACCAGGAAATGCTACCCATGCAGTGATAGAGCAAGCAAACCAGAAAGAACTTGTGTCTTCGCATGTGCACGGGCGAGCAAGGGACAAAACGACGCTCAGCCAGCAGAGAACGGCGAGAATCAACATTGTGACAGGCTGCATCTTCGAAGCGGCAACGCAGATTGAGTCGAGGTGCTGCCTGAGTTTCCAACCAAGAGGGTCCGCTGAAAGTCTACTGACAACTGCAGCTCCGGTCGGGCCTTGCCCGCCTTGTTGCAAACAGCACAGAAGCCACGATCATCAACGCGTCGGTTGCATGGCAAGCCGTTTCCTTCCTGCTATGTCAGTCCGACAACGTTTTGCGACATTGACCAGGCCGATGCTGCGTGACACCTGCCAGTAGCTCACTAGAATCTTGAGTCTGCGTCCTTCGGCTCCATGCAAGCGGTGTAATGGAGCTGCCTCGGAGTCTTACTACGTCTTGCCATACACCTTGTTTCGGACCCATGCAGCCAAAGGCTGCAGTGCAGCAACCTAAGAGCCAGGCTGTATCTCATCCCTCTTCCGCAGCTGAACCTCAGAGAAGCAGAGTGCATGGGCATATGGCACAGGCATGCAACGCGAAGCAACCCCTGCAGCATGCAGATGTCAGGAATCTGCAATGGAACGAAGCGTGAGACCATCAAAGCGGGGTTATCAGCGCTAGCCAGTGCAGGCTCAATTGTACTAAGGCGTCCGCTGAGGCGAGACGGCAGTAGGACATGTACATTTCTTGTTCATTCACAATCTGGCAGCTCACATCGGCTTTAGACTTTAAGATGCCTGGAGCTCAACTAGTGCAGGTGCCTGCTCTGATTTCTGCTTCATCTCGAGGACATCCATTGTTTTGCCGGTGATGCGAGTTCCGCCACCGCCGCTCGTCTACCATGGTCAATGCAGAAGGGCTATAATCAAGACATGCGGCACACAAAATTACGTGTCCCAGCAGCCATTAAAAATACTTATACATAGGGATTGTTTACGTGCCGCCAAGAGCTTCGCTGACCAGGGGGCTCCCTGAAAAAACATGCTTGAAACATGCGACATGGACAACACCTTAGGACGGCCTGCGAGATGAACGTCAGGTTTTGCGCATGGCCACCTTGCATCCACCACTGCTTCACCTGCAGACTGGCTATGGATCCCCAAGCTTCCAGCTGGCCATCGCATAAAAAGACACAGCTCATCTCAGCTTGCGTGCTAGCTGCTAGTCATAGTCTTCAAGCAGCAGTTTACAACATGGAACAAACGGGTACCAGAACAGAGAAACGCCTACAGTAAGAGACAAGAGCACACCGAAAGTGCTGAAGCAGCACCCCACAAGCAGGAGCAGCAGCAGAATCAAACATGAAGCTCACGTTTAAGGAGTGAACCACCATGCCAGCCACGGCACATGATGGCACACGTACATGGTACGTTCTGCAGCTTCCAACAACGCAGAAACAGGCCCGCACACACGTCAACTGAAGCAAGCACGTTCACGCTAACGAGCCTAAAGCCCAGCACATGCTGCAGTTACATTACTCCACACAAGTGACGCAAAACGAAAACATGTGGGAGTCCACGCTTATCTATTGCCTGGGCCTTAAGGCCCCTAGCTAGTTCCCAGAAGAACGCTGAACCCGAACCCACATGAACAAATACCAACGTGCCTAGCCTTCTACTCTCTTCCGAAGATAAATGCGGCTGCTGACACGCAGAGCTTTGACTCTACAGGTTAGATCAGATCGGATCAAATCAGGTTTGAATAGGTCAGACGGTCAGACCGTCCAGCCTGACTGAACTGCGCCAATTAGATCTTGATACTACTTCTTCAAGCTGCCACAACTTTTGGGAAGAGAATGTTGACGTTTCCATTTAAATCGCGGAGACTTGAGCGATGTGTTGCATTCTATGTAAACTGTAATGATGCAAAAAAAACCTTCCACCAACCCTTCCGTGTCCTTCCGCAGCCCAGGGCGTCCTCTTTTCTCACATCTTAACAATTGTTGCTTCCACGGACCTTTCGCGAACCTTTTCGCTTCCACGAAGTACCTTCTGCTCATGGACCACTTTGGGATGAGGATGAGCTGCAGGCGTTTTCTGCTGGCAGTCTTTTGCAGTTGCAACTTTTGACGCGACCCATTGGCTTCAAAATTGCGCTCCGCCTTCCGCGAACCTTCCGCGAACCTTCAGCTAAATCCCCGTCCCGAGCTTCAAAAAAGGCTGAACAGTATCATGTGTCTTGCTGTTAATTTTCGTGGTTCTATCCCGCAGTTCCGCCCCCTAGATACTTCTCTCATGTAAACCTGTGAAGTGGAGTATCTCTCAACGCTTGAACCACCACATTGGCAACCTTCTGAACCATCTGATATCAGGGATTGAGTCGTGTCTGTTTTCGCAAGCACCTTCGGCGACACTTCCGCGAAGCCACCCCCTTCCACGAACCTTCCGCGTTCTTCCGTGGCCAGTCCTGACCATTTTTGGGGTTGATTTCAAGTTTGGTGTCGCCAGCACCGCAGAAGATTAGCGGTGGAAAAAAACGCCGCCCATTTGTTTTTTGAAAAGTTATGAAGCAGTAAAAGTTCTCGACTGCGTCCTCACTCCTGGAAGCTGGCAAAAGATGCAAGAAAAAAAGCAAGTAATGTTGACCTCGTATTAATACACGCCTGCATAATCGCAATTACAAAAGCAAATTTGTGAAGCTCTGGAACAGCTATGTGTACTACTGGCTGATACTACTATTAACTACGACGACTGGAGCTCCAGCTCATGGACCCGGATACAATTAATTACGGAGGCTCGGGCCCGCCTTCTCAGCGGGGTGGGGGGGGAGGAAGGTTTCTTGTTATGAGGTGAGCACTATGCTTCATCCATCGTTTTTAGACATTAAGCCCGCAACTCCAAAATCCAGGCACAAAGACATGTTATTACATCGCCAGGAAAAAAGTTTTGACCTACTGGGGCCTCGGGGTTTAAGAGGAGGACCAACATGCAGAAAGACACTGCGTAGTATGGGCCATGTTGCGCGGTCACTTATTACCCTGTTTTAGATTTATACTATTTTAAGCTTCCAGCAGAGTCCCCATGGTGCTCCGTGGAGGAGTCCATGAGGGAAAAGGGCGTCTGCTTGTAGTGTAGGTCTGAAGTAGCAAATGGGTCGAACTTTCGTCCTNNGCAGCGTCATTTTGGGTGTAGCAGTCTAAGCAGTAAGCAGGTCTTCACTTCTGGTCAGCATGAGGCGGTATCATTTTGGGGTGTAGCAGCTGAAGCAGTAGGCAAGGATTCATTTCTGGTCAGCGTGAGGCATCGCCTGGACTAAAGTTTTGACCTACTGGGGCCTCGGGGTTTAAGAGGAGGACCAACATGCAGAAAGACACTGCGTAGTATGGGCCATGTTGCGGTCACTTATTACCCTGTTTTAAATTTATACGATTTTAAGCTTCCAGCAGAGTCCCCATGGTGCTCCGTGGAGGAGTCCATGGAGGAAAGGGGGTCTGCTTGTAGTGTAGGTCTGAAATAGCAAGTGGGTCGAACTTTCGTCCTACCGCAGTATTCATGGGAAAGAAAAACTTTCAACAAATGAGTCGCATCCGGAAAGGCCGGGTTTTCTCTGTAATACCAAAAGCATTCAATTTCCAAGAGCACGATCACACGGTCTTGTTTTCTGATGCTCTTTGCAAATCACGCAACCTCGCAGCTAGCCGGCAGGAACGTCTCAAAAACCCAATCAAATGTCAAGATCATCATACTTCCCATTGAAAGCAGCAAATTCACCAAATTGTTAAATGGTGATTCCTAGGAATGGATCTTTCAAACTGCGGTGACGTGTGGTAAGGGTCTGCTTTTCCGATTTCAAGGCGCCCGCGAAGTTATGTGCGTGATTGTGCGTGTGCGTTTGGGCAACTTTGTGAATTCGTTGGCTTATGTTGGAGTTTGGTTCATAGTAGCATGTTCTTCGATGTTTTGACAGCTAGTGAATTTTCATGATGTGACAGAGTGATGCAGAGCTGCTAACTGCAACTGCAAGCACTCGTCAAGTGACCTGTTGCAGTACGTACAGCACAGTATAACTTCTGCACCAACCGAGCTAAGCAATCCTTGTCCACCTGAACCCTGATGAGACAGATCTCGGCACTAACATCTTAGTTTGCCATCAGAACCGCAGGTCACAGCCTTCTGCGCTTCCGGCAGGTCAGGGTTGAAAGCCAGGGAGCCTGCCTGCAGCATCAATGCCACGCTGATAAAAGCTGCAACCACCATGAGAGTGCAAAGCGGTTGCTAGTTGAGATGGCAAGTTCCTTCGGAATTCAATCCAAGGGGTCCCAATAAGTGTGATAACCACAAAACGTCAAACGTGTGACTGCCACTGCTAGGCTAAGCGTGAAAAGGGATCAGGTGTTTGAAAACCCAGCCTCCATCAAGGAGCCGCTCAAGCCCCCCTGCCAGTCCTGCAAACGCGGTGCATTAGCCACTAGTCGCATAGGTGCTTGACTGCATAGCGGCTGCCCGCCTTGATCACCACTCCTTTCATGGCGACGACTGGGTTGCCCTGAAACTCGGAGTCTTCCTGCGATCCATTGCATGGTAAGTAGTCAGCTGATTTGGGTGGCATCCAAACAGCAAATCCTACGTTGGATCTGCCTTCTTTGCTCGATCACCCCATATAGTAACTTGCATGCTCACTCCGCTGTCGTCCTCAGACTGCGCCATAACACCACTTCGAGGCATGACCAAAAAAATGTTCAGGATCCCACGGCGAGTGTCAGCGTTCGTTTGACCAGGTCCTTCCTGGTGCTCACGGCGGCGAGAAAGCTTCAGAGAAGTCTAGTGCACGCTTCACCTCTTTGTGAAGGTCTTTCTGGGCCCCTCGCCCGTCTTTGGAAGTGAATGCCAAAGGCTGGTCAAAGGCTGTGACGATGCCGCAGACGTCAACGCTGCATGGCCTGGTTGCAAGGTGAAACGAACCATGACTGTCCGATCCTAAACAAAGCCTCTCACTTAAGGCCGTGGCAGGGTTTTGCCCTTCACCTTACAGCGCTGAAATCAGAATCGCATGCGCCAGTTGTTGCCGTTTGCGCAAGGAATGAATCAACAACTGACACGACAGCGGCTGTGGGCTGCGCCGTATGGAGGTCGACTACGGAGAACCTTGGTGATGCGAACCTCATGTAAGAGGCAACTGCCGGTGACAAGGCCCCGGCTTGACAGTATCAATCTTCCCGTCGTCAGCGACCGCATCCACCTTCATTAGAAATGAAATGAAGCTCCGAGCTGAAGGTTGACATGCTTGATCATGATTGAATATGATTGAGAATGTCAGAATGCGATTCAGTGAGCGAATGTCGAGTGAGTGAGTGTCGAGTGAGTAAGTGTCGACCTGGAGTGCCCTCCGGCCTACAGAAGCGGTCCCTCTCACCTTCTTTGCCCCTCCGATCCCCTCCGCATGCGTCATTGGGGCTCGAGTACAGAGTTCAACGCTCCGGGCCCCTCAATCCGAGCGGGGGTATTACAGGGCAGGGTGTGCCACCCTGGGCCCGCCCACGCAAGCCGGGCAGCTTGGGTTGGAATTGGTCGCTTGGCAAGACAGCCCACTTTGCAGGAACATAAGCTCTTCCCTCTGTGATTCCTCATGGAAGTACTAAGCTGGGGACACTAGCTCAGAGATCGGGCATGGGGAACAGGGTGGTCGAACCTATCACGCACACACACACACTGGGAAAGCCACGAGGGCACATGGGATCTCTAGCT